TAGTTCTCAATCTGAAAGTAGAATAAGGTTCAGTTTATTGCTACTTTTAGTGCATGTCCTCTCTGTATGGCAGAAGTTTTCTGCCTGTGACAATTATGGAGAAATCAGAGACAGCACACTGCATTAATAATGTTTTCGGATACTAAATGAAAGAAGGACTAAAATCTTTCAAATTACTGCATTTAAAATTTAAAACAATAATTTGGTGTGTGTGTGCAAAGCAGGACAATTTTGGTATTTTGTTTGCTCACAAGACTGTATTTCTTTACTCAGTGAAATTTCACCACAGCTGTAGGTTCCATAAGTTCAGTATTTCTCACACTTGTTTATACAGCCCTGCACAGCAATACTGCTAAGTGTTCAGAGCTCTCTGATGGCCCTTAAATCTGAGTTGTCAGCCTCCACATTTTAGATTTATAATTGCATGTTCCACTCCCTACTTTTTAAAAACTGTAAAGGGTATATGAAAAGGAGTAATTCCATTTGCATTAGAATGGAGTTCATCTCTTCAAAATGATGAGCAGAATCATCTTTGGAAAAAAAAGTTAAAGGCAATTCAATCCTCCTCAGCATTTATTGTCCGAACGCTGAAAGAATTTGGAGCAAAAAAGCATTAAGTTATTGTGTCCACACTCCTCTGAAGTACCTGCATTTCTACATTACCTCCTGTACAATTTTTTATCGCTGGTCATCTTGTATTTTCTCACCTTTTCCACATTCCTCACCTTTCCAAAAGCTCTGGCACGTTCACGTGGTGTGACAGGCTCCCCAGCAGGAAAGTCTCATGAGACCTACTGAAGCCACCAAGCTTTTTTTCTGGCCTTATCTTGGTTAAAAGTTTGTCTTTAAATCACAGTCAAACTTGGCCTCACATCTACCACAGCAGGTTTCCTGCTTCTGATGTTTTTGGAAGAGGTTTCACAATTACTTTTTATACCATTACCAACATTTTCCTTGAAATGCTTTTGGCCTGCCTTTTACAGTTTTATGTTTTATGCCAGAGCTTATGCTACTTTCTGTTTCCCTCATCTGAACACAATATTTTAAGAGTTCTTTTTGCTACTATCCATTACTCTCCTGCAGAGCTCCACTGGTCTTCAGGCATTCCTTCCAGAAGCGTCAACAGGTGATAGAGACACTTGCTCAGCAATCCTAACGCAGGTCACTTTCCCCTCTGGCTCTTTTAATTTGCTTCTGACAAACTTCCTTGGCATCTTGTAGCCATCTTTTCAAAGTTCACTGTTCCTATGGTAAATTTATTTGTCCCTTTCACTCCTACAAAGGTGCTGAATTTGAATGTATTGTGATCAAAATTCTGGAATGGTTCTTTGATATAGAAGCTCTGAAGAAGGCCTGGTGCCCTACTTCATTCAAACCAGGAGGTCTCTGAGCTTCTCTAATGAATTGAGTTTAAAACTGGCATAATATCCTATCGCAATATTTATCAAGCCCAGAGAGAACCGATATCTCTTCACTCTGGCCATCACACCTTTCTAATTTCCCTGCCACAAAAAAGGTAGAAACATGAGCTTTTTTACCGTTAGTAACAAAGAACCAGGGCAGAAGGAAACTTTAAGCCTGAAAATTCAGGCTTCAAGGTTTTATAGTGAACAGTTGCTCCTTTTGATTAATTTCCTCCGGTTTATTGATTGAAGAACCTGAAGAATTGTTAACCATTGAGCTGTTATGTTACCTCTTACATCTGTGACCCCAACGACATCTCTTCCCAGCTTCTCTGCCCTAGTGAGCTCTTTTGCCTGAAATTGTGAAAGTTTTGAAATCCGTATTTTTCTTGAGTCTTAAGTTTATGCTGTTAATGAACATCTCAGGAAGCCAGATGCATGGAGTCCTAGATAATAGGAGTAGCAGGAAGCACATTAGGAATCACCTGGGGAGTAGGTCTAAATGTCTGAGTCCTTGCTTAACTTAAATGTCATTGCCTAAAAGTCTCCAACTGCTTTTGAGTCTGGTAACCAAATCCTGGCAAAGACCACCGGTTTCCAGTTCAATGATAATAACACACAACACTGCCATTGCAAATAATACCTTTTATGATCATGTGGTATTTTAGATACCCTGAATGGTAGCTATATTTATAGGTTTTATATATATTAATAGACTTCAGCGACCAGAGAAAGACTCATAGAGCTTTCTTAAGTTGATTAACTAATTGACAATACTGAGACTGGTGAAGCGCAGCATCAGTGACATCTGCCATTAGAGCTTAGGAAGCATCTGTAAACGAGAATCTGCAGTTACCAACTGTTCAACGTTGTTACATATTTCTTTACTGAATTTAACAGTAAATTATGAATGTCTGTGCATTGTTTCCTTGTTAAGGAAGATCAAAATTAACTCCCAAATTAGAATTAGCGAGGAGCAGCTATAACTCTCCCGTATATATTGTAGAACTCACATCTAGTACGATACCTAGGGAAAATACAGGTATTTATGACCCTTCTGTAATTCACAGGATCTTTCTCTGCCATCTCTACAATTCCCCCTTACCTACTGATCTTTTCCTCAGTATGCAAAACCAGCGCACTCAACTTGCAATTTTAACCTAAGGGTATTTAAAAAATAGGTGGAACAAGATGGTACTAACAGCCAACAAAATAACAGTCCTATGAGAGCCCTTTATCTCCACAAACGTTACCTAAGGCCAACTACAGGGACCAAACTTGTCAACTAGCTCCAGTATGGGGATTTGTATGCTAAACTCCTTCCTTCTGCCTCTGGCCTGCTTGATTCCAGGTGTGGAGCATTTGCCACACCTCCAGCAGCTGGTAAGGCTTACCCTAAGAGCTGTGTTCTTCCTCTCAGATCCCTAACTCCAGCATGTCTTCATCTGTTTTCTCTAAGCCTTTGCTAGCTGGTTAGTCAGTGTCCCCTGCAGCCTCCAAGAGAATCACTTACCAGAGATAAGCCTGCTCCTTAACAACCCCTTAGGCTAGTCAATCTTCCAGAGCCTTTTCTGCCTTTCTGATTCTGTATGATGTGAAGGCTCCATTACCAGGAATGTTAGATGGGTTTATTAAAGTGAAAATGTGCACTGAAAAGCAAAAGAAAACATCCCTTTACAAGTAAACCTTCGTACAGCACAGGCCTGAAGACCGACTTTGATAGCACATGGCAGGCTTATCACCCTGCAAGTTTTAAATTTGTATTTTATTTAAAATTAGTGTAGTATTTTATTAAAGCCTTTTTTTTTTTTTTTTTTTTGTAAGACTCTTTTTGATGGCCATGATGATGGTTGGTTAACTGAAGCAGCGTATTCAGCTTTAGGTCTTTGGGTTCTCAAAGCACCAAAAAGAAAATGGAAGCAGCCATTTTTTAACCAAATGAGGCTGGAATACAGGAAAGAGAAGCTGCAGCAGTTGGTAGCATCAGGTTGGGTTCAGACAGCTGAACAGTGTAGAAATGCAGTAACTGCAGCTACAGTGACATAACTAATGGAGAAAATCGAGGAATAAAAATCTGTGGGTATAAAAATAACATCTTGCTCAAACAAAACAAAAAACCCACGTGGCCAAAAACAGCAGATGACATACTGCTATGATAAAGAGGAAATGTGCAGAATTGTTAATAAATGTATTAACATCAGAGAAATGAGACAGCAAAGAAAAATGTATTTTTTAACTGTGAGAGTTTCTATCACCACACACCCCACAGACGTCTCAGGGCTGAGGTCCTCCTCATAAGCAGGCTGTTCTTTCGCAGAGAGGTGAATGGACGTTTTCTAGACACGCTGCTCTGTATCTTATTTATTCTGCGAGAGACTTTGATAAAGTACAGCTTAAACTGTTACAGGAAACAAACATAGTTGTCCCTTACATACGGTTTCTTCACCTTAGTAAGAAGCTATTTGATCACAGTGCCGCGTAACCTTCCTTGAGAAATCGTGCGGGATAATCTGTCCTCTTTCCGTTGCGTGCCAATGCAGCCTGGGCCGAAGCTTCAGGCGGGTGCTGCTGGCTGATCGCAGAACCAGCGCCCTGATTAGAGGGCCTGCGCGCGTACCGCTGCCGTTCTGCTGCGCGGCTTCGCCGGGCGAGCGCCGTGCCTTCAGCGCCACTGCCCACCCAGGTCCGAGCGCTCCGTGCCTCGGAACCTTCCCGAGCCCAGCCGCACCGCGCGAGTGCCTGCGCCGCAGAGCCGGCCGGCCGGGCGAGGCGCCTGACGGAAGCTGCCGCCCGAGGAACGCAGCCCGCCCCGCCGAGGCGCCGTCGGGCGCCCCACGGCCACGGGCGGCAGGGGGGCGGCGGGGCGAGGCGGAGCCCGGCGGCCGCCCCGCCTCCATCCTCGGGGATGCCGGGATGTTTACGGGCCCGGCAGGAGCGGCGGGGGGCGGAGAGGAGGTCGGGGCCGCAGCGGGTGTCCGAGCCGGCGGCCGGCAGCCCCGCTAGGCGCCTGCGGCGAGCCGCGGCCCGGCTCCGGCTGCCGAAAAGCCGGCGGGCGGAAGAGGTGAGGCCCGGCCCGGGCCCCGCGCCGGGAGCGGGCGAAGGCAGCGGCGGGATCCCGGTGAGCGGGGCGCGGCGGGGCCGGGGCGGGAGGCGCGGGGCTGCGCCCGCCCGCCTGGAGGCGCCCCCCCCGCCGAGTCGCGGGGGCGGACCGCAGGGTCCCGCCTCCCGCCGCCTCGCATTGGTCGGCGGGGCTCGTTCTCGCGGCGCCATTGGGCGGCGCGGCTGCCGCTCCCCCCGCCTCACGGGGAGGGAGCGGTGCGGGCCGGGGAGAGAAACTTTCTGCGCCTAGCGGGGGCGGGATGGCGGCGGGCGGTAACCGGCCCGGGGCCGCCTCCGCTCAGCCGGCGTCCCGCGGCGGCTCTTGTGGAAGCGGCTCCCCGGGATCGCGGTGGGCCGTGGTCCCGCAGCGGCCGGCGGGTCCCTCGGGAGCCGGGGAGCGGCGGGGCGGGGGGCGGCGCGGCCCCGGGCGGCGCGGTCTGGCCGCTCGCTGGGCGCCCGCCTCGGGCCGGGCTCCTCGGCTAGCGCCGCTCGTGGTGCTGCGCCGTGCGTCCCTACGCCGTGTGTCCCTGCGGGTGCCCGGCCCCTCTCACCTACTCTCACCTGACTGCCGGCCGTGCCCGGGGCGGGTGCGGTGCTGCTCTTGGCCTGCCGGCTCCGCCTTGGCTTGGCCGCGCTGTGCTGAGCCTGCCGGGTGCGGGCAGCGTGGCTGTGTGAGACCAGGAGAAACTGAGGCCTACTGAGGAGTGCTGGGAGCGGGGCATCCTCTGTCAGTATAAATAATAATAATAATAATAAACCATCTTTTCCCCGTGGCTCCATCTTGACCTTGCACAGTGCCCAGTTTCTGTTCTGCATGCACCTGCTCTGAGTTTTGACTTGTGTCTGTGCAAACTGTCCCTTCAGGATAGATGCTCTTCTTTGGAACTTGAGCTTTTGCTTTGAGTTTCATGAGAGGCATCAGTTGCCTTGCATGACATAACTGTTACAGCACTGTTTTCTCAGATTGGAATGGTAGCGTTATTTTTCAGGTCATGCATGCATAGTAAGTTCATTGATGTTCTGGATGGCTTTCCTGTATGAAGTTATGTGACCAGCCTGAAGTTACAGTGGACGATGTATTGCTCCATAAGGCAGGCACTTCAGTCAGTTAGATGTCACGTGGATATTTGCAACTCCACTAAATTGTAAGAGTGAAATTTTAAAACGCGTTCCATTCGTTGCTGCTTCGGAAACAGCTCAGAGTTGTAGAGGTGTCTGCATTTAAAGTTTTTGACTCATGCTGCTGCGAGAGGGATGAAATGCAGTAGAATGCTCTGATTAGTTCATGGTCTCTGGAAAACAGGAGAAAAGAAGAGTAAATTGTTTTTTGTTGTGGAAGAGGGAAGCTTGCAAGTATCTTCAAGCAGCTTTAAAGCGAGAACGTAAAGCCTGCATTGATATATATTACTGGAAGGAAATAACACAAAGGCACATTTGCACGTTCTTTAATTTCAAAGTATTCAGGATGTTTTATTTAGAAGTATCTGATGTTTGGGTAGATGAATTTTCAAAGCATGCTCAGAGACTTTCAGTGAAAGGATAGAGATACGGCTTTTATGGTAGATACCTTGTATTCAACATGAAAAAAATGGTTGTTGAAGTGCAAAATAAAAAAAGGAATTTTAGTCCACTGAAAATCTGTTTTTGATTGACTTACTGTTGTGCCTTCCAGAGTCTACAAGAAATAGACAAATGGAGTCTCACCACTGTAGTAGAAATTCCTTCCAGAGAAAGAGGAATAAATACCATTTTAGAGTTGTTTAGCTGAAGTCATGTGAGTGTATGAGAAACTCATGTGAAAGATTTATCCTAAGACAGTCAAAAAAGAGTACATGAAGTCAGTCGGTGGCTTTGCTGTAACATGTGGTATCCTCTGAATTTTAGGAGCTGTGAGGTACACCTGTATTTTCCTTTTATTGTGCCAAAGTTGAGCTGAATGCAGTCAGCCTTCTATATTTGTTCATGGAGACGCTTTGGGGAGGCAGTTTGCCCATGCATGTGAAAAATCCATTTTTAATAGACTTAGTATAGGATCTTGCATTCACATTAGTTCTGCGTTTAGTTGTGTCACTGTAGTGGAAATGCTAAGTCATGGCTTGAGCCAGTGGTTGAGCACCTGGTAGGAAGGCAGGGCCAACCTAGGGGAGCTCAGTGTACCTGGGTGACTGGAGGGGTTGGAGCCAGTATCCACCCCTTCCCAGACGTCATTTAAGAGCTGGCAGTGGAGGCAAGGGCACCTCTTGCTACAGTTCAGTGCCTACCTAAGGCCTTCCAAAGATAAGTAGTTCTTTTTCTTTATTTCTGCTGCATTTGGGCACATCGCCATCGATCCCTTGTTGTCTTTGGAAGACTGATAGTCTTCCAAACATCTGTGCTGAATGGATAAATTCACCTGATCTTGATAAGTACTTTGGGAAAAGTTGACCTGTAATAACTTCTAATGTTCCTTATTTGGGGCTTATCCAGAGGTCCCTTCTGATTCCCAGGAAGTGGTGCTTAGAACTGGCAAGGAGGGAAGATACTCTTGCAAAGGTTAATGCTGTGAATAGTCATAGGAGTTTACTGGTGATTAAGTTCAAGAAAAATTGTTCAGTTCAGCCATGTTGTATACAGCATGCACCAGAGATGAAAATAATGCCGGAATTCCAAAGTGGTGATAAGAGCAGCCTTTAGAGCACTCGTTTCCTGTATTTATCATGATTTGAACCCTGCCTGCTGTGTAGGAAGAACTTCAGCCTTGCAGTGCAGTACAGCATCACTCTCCATTGCCTTCTTAAGAAACTACTGGAAGGAATGTTTTTGTCAGGCTGTCTAAAAAGCAGAAGAGAAGCAATGCTGCTAGAATAAGTGCCTTTTCTGTTATAGACAATCCCATGCATGTCTGAAATGTAAGTGCAATTCAGCTTCTGTTTCTGAAGTTAGAAAGCAGTGTATTTCAAGTGCCGTTATTGCCAATCTGGCAGGCAGAACACACATGCTTATGTATGGGAGTTAGAAAAAAATAAAGAAGAATTTGTAGGAAAGTAGTATGCATGCTTAAGTCTTACTGTACATAGTTTAGCTCTCTGATACCAGTGACCTCTCACTGTTCATTATAGGTACCAGTTCAAATAGACTATTTACTTCATGTGGCATTTGGGAACTTACATTCAGTGCTCTTTGCTTTAATCTGCTTGGGATGATTTATAACACAGTTATTACTGTTATATTTAGTAGCTGGACCAGATTAATTGCTTTACATTGCCTTGAGAGTTCAGCATGTGGATGAGATGTTTGTCTTTGGGAGAAGCGGAGCTAGCTGCTGCACTGTTGATGGTCTGGTCCTTTTCAGTTCATTTAATCCTCTGTCACAAAGCTGTTGATTCCTTGAAAACTGGAAGGCAAAAATATCACAGGTAAACTTCATGTTCAATCTATAATAAGGAAGTAGAAGCTTGCAGTGTGAAAAGGCACAGCGTTCTGGCCTGTAGAGGCCCTTCTTCTGTACCCTTTTCTCCCTCATCTGAAAACAGATCCAAAAAAGGAGTTGTCTTCACAGCAGTGAATTTCCTATACTTGCCGTGAGTGGAATTCAGAGCAGTGTGTTAGGTGTGTGGGCTGCTTGTGAGGTTCGTGGACATAACTGGGGCTTGGGAGCAGGAACTGTGAGCAGCCTGCGTACGCTACAGTGCACAGTTAGTTATTGAGGATACTCCAAAAGCAGCACTGGATCTTGCAGATTTTTGCTGGTGGAGGTTAAACATAAGGTACAGAAACAGCTGTGAAGCTGTGCATTGTCCTGCGGAGGTGAAGTGTCTGGCAGCTGGCTTCTAGGCCTGGGGATCTCACAGCACTCACTGCAGCCGTGGACTAGGAGGTGGTGTGAGAGGATCCTGAAAAGCTTCTTGAGTCTGGCTGGTATTCCTGCTCTGATTCTGTGTGCTGCTTCATTTCATCATCTTGGGGGTAGCTTAGGTTGTAAATTATGTACTGAAGTTATGTTTTAATGAATGAGGGTGTCTCATCACCCTGCCCATGTGTTGGCCTGGCAAGGGCTAGGTTTTAAGGGTTTCTGATCGCATCTTAACTTCCTTTCTCTGAATATCTTGTTTTTTGTTTTTGTAATTGGGCTTGCTACCATATGTTTTGTTTCCTTCTCCTGCATACCTGCATGGTATTTTGCAGACAAAACTCTTGGCTTTGTACTGAATAACTTGTTTTCACTCTCTGTTGGCTGTGTTCCTGTTATTGGATTTTTTTTTTTTATCATTTGGTACTTTTTATCATCCTTACCTAAGGCTGAACTAAAACGAAATGCGAGATAATGCAGTAACTCGCTGTTGCCAGAAGGGAGATGTTCATTTCCCTCTGATCTCTCCCTTGTCTCCCTCCTCTGCCCTAGCTCAGCAGACCGAAGGCTCTCACAGCCTCCTCTGTGCCTCGCTCAGCGTGTGTTGCTTGTGGAGCTGGGCCTGGCAGCATTTGGGGCTGAACCAGCTCAGCAAATGTTCTGGGTATTGGTCGGGATGGCTAAGCAGGATCAAGTGGAAGGGAAAGGAAGACCTTAAGTGCTTGTGAGCTGTTAGATTGGCTTTGTGCTTGAGGTGTAATTTGACCAGAGATTTAACTGATGTAAGTTAGGGCTGCTCTGTCCCCAGCTGCATCTTCCCTTCTTTTCTGCTATCACAATTCCATCCCTGTGTCTGCAAGGGGAAAGATTTGAAGAACTGATCTGGAGGAAAAAATGGAGCGGCCTGAGAGGGTTGGTTTGTGGCTGGTCCAGTAAAGGAACACTGGTTCCTCCCAGGGCAGGGAGCAGGGCCTGGAGCATATGGCTGGGGGGAAGGAGGGAGGTGGTGGTGCCCCAGGGACGGCTGCTGTCCTTGTGTGCACCGAGGGCCTGTTCTGCTGGTAGTGGTGTGGCCAGGTGCCACATGTGAATTGAGATGGCGTCACAGGGAAAGCATTTGAAGGCAGTGAAGTATTTCCTTTGTAACTGGCTAGTCCGTATGAGGAAATGGCAGTTGGATTTCTTAGTGGGTGAACAGAAACCAAGTGAAAATGGAGGCTCATCTTCAGTTGTCATGAGATAGCCAACAGTTGAAAAAAGGGCAAGTCAGTGCATGTGCAGCCCTTTGGGAGCAACTGGAAAAATAAGGAATCTACCTGCCTGACACAACTGGCAAGGAGAGGGAGGAAAAAAGAAAATCCTTGTTACATTGCCCCAATGGGGGAAGAGGAAGAGAGATGGGCCTGTGAGGTGTGGCGTTTCTTCTGGTTATTGGCAGGGAGCTCCTGGGAGCTGGGCAATAACAGCAGCTGGAACCTGTGCTTTCAGGGTCAGAATCAAGAGTGCCTGATGAATCTGGGTGGATGGATGGATGATAGAACTATATGTGATCTCTTACTATATTTGTTGACTTTTTTTATTTTTAAGTAATTAAAAAGTAATTTAATATGTGTATGCTGGCTTCTGCTAAAATTGCTCTTGCTAAAACCAGCACTTAACCCAGCTTAACTGTGCATGTTTGACTGCTTCTGTAGAGCTTGGAGTGGACAGCTCATGAGTAAGGAACAAAACATTTAAGCCCGAATTCATTTTATTGATTGCTGTAAGTAAAAATAAAGAGTAGTTCCTTCCACATAGGTGGATAATTAATAACTACTTTTATTTCAACAAATGCTGATAATTTGTTTTGTCCTCCACTTTCAAGATTGTCCTCACAGAGCTGCCAACCTACAGGGAGAGTTCAGTTGATAGCATTCAAAATACAGCTCTTTCAGAAGCACTTTGTAAGGTAATCCTACTTGTGTATTTACATCTATATTCAATCATATTTACCACTTAAGATGTCGCAAATAGTTTTTCTTCCGATACTGATGCTTCTGCAGAGAATTTACCAATGATTATGGTTTTGTCACACTGTAGACATTTTTTATATTGTGAAACAAATGTTTCATTTTAACTACCATCAGCTAGTAATAATAATCATTCTGTATGTCTATATGCATAATTTATAAATAATTATGGGTAGGTGTGTATGTATGTGTATTTATGTTATGCATATGCATAATGCGTGTCTGTATGTGTTCATGTATATAATGTACGTTAGTTGGGGTAAATTACAGGTTCCCCTGTGCTCATGATTAACCTGCTCTTCCAGTGTGGAGTTGACTTTATTCCTTGCTGATCAAGGCCTTAATCTTCTTGGCAGCGTTTGAATGAGTATCAACTTAAATGCATTTTGCTTTATTAATACTTATATCCAACCTTGCTGTTGAGGGAGTGCAAAAAAAGAAATTGGGGTGGTCAAATATTTATTCGTCAAGTGAATGAGTAGTTCAAATAATCAATAAGCCATTAAATAAATAATAAGCATAAAATAAGCATGTTGCAGACTGTATGTTTGTCATAATCTGTTAATAGCAGCAAACCAGTGAAAAGTATAGTGTGTTTGAGCTGGGCAGAGCAAAGAACCTGAAAAAGAGAAGTGGATGATGGTAGAATTATTGCTAATTTAGTATTTTACAGGTTGTAAATGCTTATAATCTTTTAGATGCTTCCTAGGGAAGTAGGAACATACAGAAAAGATCCTAGAGAGAATTAGTTAGCAATGGATGCGTGCAGTGTCACTGTTTGTATGTTAGACTGACAGCCTTGGAAAATTTGCTGTTTACTGAAGCTGCTTGGGCATGAATTTGTCCAGAAGCCTAATGGGTTTATTGCAAATATGAGTGTATGAATGAGTATACACAATGTTTGTGTATTTTGGTCTTCACAAGAAAATGTGCAGGGTCCCCAGTGCAGTTGAATGGTCCTTCTGTACTGTGAGCACCTGCCCACCTTTCAGCCCCCAGCTCCAGCTGTGGGAGTGCAGCCCCCTCACTGCTGTTCAGTGCTATCACACCTGGTTCTTCCGGTGCCTGAGCTAATGCTGAAACTTCTTGCTCCAGCAGCAGCAGTCTTGAGCTTTCAGTTTGGCATGGCGTTGTTAAGTTCTGTGTGAGCCTGGCATCAGCTGCCTTGTGCAAGTCTTGCAAGCCTTGGCTGCTGTCCAGTAGTGTTTGAGCAGGAAACAGGAGATACTTTTTTGATTGTTCGGAAGCCTCAAGCGTAACCAGTTGCAGTGGAGCAGCATTGATTGGCTTTTATTCCTTTTTTTTAAACATTTCAAGTGTTTCGGCATATTTAATCATTTCTAATACTATTTTAAAGCTGACTCTGCAACTCTGTGAGTAGATAGTGTAGTAGCATGTGCATATATAACTGAATTTCATTTTCTTGACCTATGTTAAGAATAATTTAATGAAAAGACACTAGAAAATTCATGAAGATCTCCTGCATTTCATGTTAAATAGACCCATATTAATTATGATTCTTTGAATCCCAGTGGTATGGAGGTGGGTGAATGACTTCTTGAAATGTATGTTAACACATCGGGTTTCATCTTCCACTTCACTATTTGGAAGAGAGGGGGGGAAAAAACAAACAAATCCTTACCCAATCTGAAGTAAGAGAGCAGACCTTTAGATAAACTGTCAGGGTGTTTTCTTTCTTATGTCTTTTGGAGGTGCTTGGATGGGACAAGGACATGTGGGCTTGGGACACATCAGCATTCTAAGAGCAGCCTGTGAGATTGCTGCCTGTGTGCTGCTGTACTCTGTCCTCTGATGCTGTCAGCGGTAGGTGGGTGCTGAGGAAGGCATGCCGGTGTGGCTGGCCCAGCAAGGTGTGGCTGTTTGGAAATCTTAAGCCATTGTTCCCAGAATAGTGTTCTTTAGTTTCAACCAGGCTGACTAGTTTAGGCCATTAAGGTTTGCCATTTAAAGTGCTTACTAGATGCAGAGGGCTCCAACTTCTGGACCTAAAAGTAGAATGTATATATGGTGTTAAATGGACCTCAGCCCTCCAGAAGCAATCATCCTTTAGAAGAACAAGCAAACAAAACTGAACAATGAATAAAACTAAAGAAACTTATTAAAAGAAAAACCCTAAAAATACCTGCCTTGATTGACAGCGCAATCAAGAATTAAGCAAAGGATGTGGCATCCTTTTTGAAAAGGAACTGAAGTAACTGTACCTGACCAGCACGTTGTGAGCAGTGTAAATTTGTGTTGCTGTGTTAGCAGTTACGAGGAGTACTTAAATCGATGTTCTGCAGAAAGCAGGCTAACATTTTCCACACTCAGTAATCCTTTGATTGAAGTATATTTATATTTTTCAAGTGTAGATGTTGTTTATTCTTTGACATCAATTACTGAATGTCTCCAGGTAAGGTCCAAAACTAAAAAACCATGGTCTGTAGCATGTAGTACTGGAAGCCACGTATTGCTGTGGCTGATGGTGATGTTTTCTACAGGAATGTGCTGTATTTTTGTGTTGTAGTACTGCCATCTGTTAAGACAAGGACAGTAGTGTCTGAATTCTGGCAAATATATTTCAATTTTTTATGGACTTTGAGCTATGAAAATAGCATTTGAAAAGGCACATTTCATGCAATTAGATGGTGTGTAACACTTGGTCTCCTGAGATAACTTCTCCCTGTTTGTAAAGATTTAGTTGTGGTGAAGAAAAAAGCTGCAAGGATTTCAAGTTTTTCCCGTATGCTTTTTTCTTCTTTACAAGTGTTATTTAAAAAAATTCTCTAGCGTGATATAGCAGAGAACTGTGGTTGGTGCAGAGGGGCAGGCTGTCTGCTTTGGTTTCCATAAGTTGTTGGTAGTCTCACCTGTTTGTTAGAGGGCAGTGCACACCAACTGGAAGAGTAGCTGTGCTATGCGGCATAAGGCACGTACTGCTGAAGCAGAAGGTGAGGCTGTACGTGTGCCTTCCTGCTACTCCAGCTATTACTTGCCTGCAGTTTTGTTTAATTTCTCAGGAACTCTGGAGTATTTATTAAAACCGAAATTCTCAGTCTCCCTCTTGGTCTTGCCTATGTTGTTTTCCCGTATCTACATCAGTTCAATCTGAAGCAGCTTTCCTGATCGTGGGTATTTGTCTATTGCACTGCACACCATTCCCCTCTTCATTGCACTGCATGGCATTCAGCAGTGCTGTCACCCCCGGCCCCCCACCCTGCTCTTCTGAGAGTAATGAAGACTCTTTAATTGAAACACATCTTCATAAGTCATGTGGTGAAGACAGGGAGGCATTTACTCCTACATGATTAGCGTAAGCACATTTGGAAATACTAGTCAGATTTGGCATTTTGGGTGCTGGTGGTGTTGCTGCTTTGCCTTTCACTTCATCTGTTGGTGGTTTTCTGTGAGCCACTGTGTATGGAGGTGGATTTGCAGAGGGCGGTCCTGATAGGATTTGCTTCAAGAAGAGAACATTATTACATTTAAATGCTTGCATTTGCATTTTATTTTTGAGTGCTAACTACTTGGCAGCATTTTCAGCATCACTTTACTAGTAAATTATAACATGAAAAACATCTTTGGAAAAATAGAAATTATCATCTGTAATTTAAATACAAATAAGTATTACTCTGTTATATTTTGACCTTTGGAGTTGATTGTAGAGGTGAAAGGCATGCCTCTCTGTGAAAACAGTCTTCAAGCAGCAAAATCCAATTCTTGCCTGCGTTGAGAAACAGTACGAGAGATGGGTTTTGCACCCTGACCGTTTTGTTTGATCAAAATGCCAAATTACTCTAAAATACAAATCTGTCATGCAGTCTTTGAAGACAAAAAAAAAAAAAAAAAATAGTAGAAGGAACAAAAGCACTTTAGTATATGGACATAAATCATTGATCTCTACCTTTCCTCTACAAAAGCAACAAAAAACCCCAGAAGTTAATATATCTTCCTTGCTTACTGTGGTAGAATGTTTGTTACCTCTTCAGTTCTTTATTTCATTGTAAAAGCAAGCAATGTGGTGCAGTCTTGTGCAAAGTAAGTTTTTCAGCGTGGTTGTGTCACCATGGCAGGGATGCTGCCTGGGGATGTGGTGGAGCCTGGAGGAGGCTGTCAGTGCTGGCATCCTGCAGCTGGCTGGGAAGTTGCAAGTTGCGGAGTTGTGCAGCATCTGTCTGCCAGCTGTTTTCTTATTTGTCTCCTATTATTTTTAGAAATGTTTAGAAATTTCTACTTTGTTTACTTTGCCTCTTGCATCAGTTTGATCACATGTTTTCTGCTGACCTGCCTGAAATTGCTTTTTAGGATTTCTTTTATCTTTGTATTAATTACAGCTAATAGGGAAACCAAAGCCCCAAACTGTATCCTTTATGAAGAAATACTGTGAATAGGAAGAGGAAGCTGCTGTGAGCCCTGATTGCTGTGGTGCTGGGAGTGGGTGGTGGTACTGAGATGGGTGGGATGTCTGCTTTGATGGGAGTGAGGACAAATAGTGATTGGCTGTGTGTGTCCTTCCTGCTGCTCAGCTCATTGCTGCAGTGTGGCGAGAAACTTTGCAAAGCTGCTCAGTGATGACTTGATCCATTAGCTGTGTGAACATGGTGATGCTGTAAGAGTGGTGTTACTGTGAACACAGGTGGTTTGTTAGGATTTCTGAAATGTTTTGCAGTGAGGTCTAAAAAACTTTGTCTAAGGTTCCCTGTTTTCTCTTGGGAGCTATTTCAACCCTTATAATAGTGTCAAAAGGAATTACTGGGAAGATTTGTTTTGTGTCTGTTTTAAAGGAGATAGTAGCTTGAATGCTTTCATGTTGAACTTCAATTTAATGCTAGGTGAAAATCCTAAGTGATACGTGTAGAGTAAGGTTTGTGGGACATGAATAGCTCTGCATGCAGGAGGGCACGCTTGCAGTGTTTGAAGTATACAGATCTATCTGAACAAAATTATCTTAGGAATTTTCCTGGTGGTAAAGATTTAAGAGTTACCAGAAGTGAACTTCCAGGATTGGAAACAGGAAGTAAATCAGTCGGACACCGTAAAGCTGGAATAGTTTTGCAGTCAGTCAGATGTAACTCTTGTTAATCTGGAGGCCTTGCCAGGTTTGATCAAGTGGCAGACAGCAGTGCTTTGTGTTCGTGTGTGCTGAAACACTTGTTGAAGGGTTTTCTCTTGCTTCAGACTTGATTCCCTTGATTCCTTTGCTTGGGTTCAAGGCTGCTCATGAGGTTTCTGTTGTATTCTTCTGAGCAGAGACAGCATGATGCTCCTTGTAGGCACCGGTAAAGCTGGATGCTGCACCAGTCAAGTTGGATGCTGCACCTGCTTCCCTGCCCCTGCTTGCCTACCATATAAAATCTGTGGATAAATTAATACAGCTTAAACAGCATGTGTGCAGTTGTAACTCTTCTGCTGGTCTGCTCTCTCCTGCTCTTCCTAGAAGGCAGAGCTGCTGGCCTCAGGTGTTTTTAGTTTGACAAGAGTGGTGAGTTGCTGCAGCTTCCATCAGACAGGGCCTTTTGTATGGCTCTGGTCTTCCAAGTGTTTGAAGCCTGTCCAGTATGTTCACATATGTTTTATAGAACAGCTGAAGACAGGTAAACTTCCTTCTCCAAACTGCAGAACTGGAGTAGTTAGATGTTGGTAAACTTAAGAATGCTAATGCTTCAATTTCACTGCTGGCTTTCTTGTTTATGAATTACAGCATAATTGGATTACAGTGTAATGACTGTTTATGTTTCTCTTTTCAGGCCTTAAAGGTCACTTTTGCCTGATAGAATGGATGAGCAGTCACAAGGCATGCAGGGGCCCACAGCTCCGCCATTTCAGCCACAGGTATCTTTTTTTTTTTTTCTGAACAGTTACTCAAGAACAGAGACTAGCAGAGACTACTCAAGAACAGAGACTTCTTAAATAGATAGAGAAATTTAGGAAACATTATTCCTTATATAGAGGGAAGAAAGGTTTGAAGAGGTATAATGTAATTTTGGTGATCTTGAAATACATTTGATAGTCCCAGGTTTGATAGAAAACGTTTGTTTTTTCTTTTACTGCGTTACCACTCCACTACCGTAGAGTGGGAGAAAGAGGGAAAGGTTAAGGCAGTTGTTTTCCTGAGAGGTGATTAAGTATCAAACACTCCATGCTTCAAAATGAGGACAGAATTACTTTGCTTACTTCAGATGTATCTTCTACTTTCTTTTCTTACACCTCCCAGTGATGTGAATTAGAGCCTTTCCCTATTGAAAGAGGCAGGAGAAGTTCCCAGCAGATGTAGTTCTATTAGAAAAAAGATGTGTAAGAAATGTAGTTTTGGAATATTTGTTGGTAGAAGGAAGGATAAAGCTGATCTGTTGACACATTACTGGGATATTGCTGTTTGACGTTTCTGGGAGATAATGTTTGTATGAGACTGCAAGAACCTGTGGTGGTATAACTTATAGTATTTACTGTGGCAAAATTAAAAAATAAAAGCTGTACTGTTTTTTTTTTTTTTTTCCCTGAAGCTAAAGCCTGTGTTTGTAGTTCTTGTTAACAGCATAGATTATAGCCAGTGAAGTACACAACTTAGCCTATGACTACAGATATTCTTGTGAAAATGCATTTTTTGAGGACTGGTTCAATTTGGAAATACTACTCTCACCTACAAATTCAATTTAGGAATTCATGCTAGTAAAATAGCCTTTCAGTTTTGCTGTTACAAGGAGTATAATTGGTCTACATGAAGTAATTTCCCTCTTACTTGTTCATTAGAATATTTGAATTGCTGTGATGAAATTCTTTTTGCATTTAAGCTGAATCTGCAAATAATAGGAAGTCTTATAGAATTTGTTTATTTACTGTTCAATCCAGATCAGTCTTTGTCTTTTTATTGTGCTCTGCCATGCGCAGAAATGGAGCAGTTTAGAGGAGCTTGTAGTAGTCACTGGATCATAGAATGATTAATATTGGAAAAGACCTCTAAGATCATCTGGTCCAATCATTCATGTACTGCTTCTATTGTCCATTTAACCATGTCCCTTAGTACAGCATCCAAATGCTTCTTCAATATTTCCAGGGACAGCGTCTCCACCACCCCCCTGGCAGTCCATTCCAGTGTCCAATTGCTCTTTCAGCAAAGTTTTTTGTAATATCCAGCCTAAACCTCCCCTGGCACAACATAA